AACTGTTATGAATTGACCCTTGCTGGCTTTGTGTGGTCCAACAAACACTTTCCCCAGTTGGGCCTCAGTTTCCCTGTCTGAAAAATTATGGGGAGGGGACAAGGTGGTCCCGGAGGCCCCTTCAGATGTTCTTATTCTGGAATTCCACAAACCAGCGGGGCTTTCTCACGCCTACAGTGTCCCAGGAAGAGCTGGGGACTCCCTTACCGTGCCCCACCATCAGCTCCTCTAGCCAAGAGGAAGGGGTGCTGGGACCGCGCGGCTGGGCCGTGCCTGCCGGACCCCGCTCTGCACGAGCAGGGCCCAGCGGCCCGGAGGGCCGCACGTGCTGGCCTCTGCTTTCCAGAGCAAACATCTCGGGGCGCGGGGCCAAGCTGCGAGCGGAGGAGGCCCCCGTCCCCTCCCACCCTCCTGGCCGCATCGGCGGCTAATTGACCACAGGACAGTATCTATGGCGCGTATACAATAAACATGACTTCAGCCGTCTGGAACCGTCTTCCTGCTGAGCCGTCCATCACTGCGCGGCCCCCGGCCAAGTGCTGGGAGAAAGTTCTCTCTCTGGGGCCGCAGCAAGGCTCTCTCCTAGGGGAGCACGGCCCTCCAAGTTCACCAGGATGGCCTCCACAGCTTCCCGGAATGGCTTCTCCAACGCAGGTCGCTCTGCAAAGGCTTACAGGGACCCACAGAGAATATGTCTCCTGTCTTCCTCACGACTTGGGAGGACAGGAGCCAGAACTAAAGAGCCGAGGAGGCAGGGACCAGAGAGGCAAAGTGGGAGGCACAGTCACACAGGAGTCGTTATCAGACCCAGGTCTAAACCAAGATCCGCTTGCCTCCTCTGTAGACCTGTGACTTCCATAAGGAATGCCGACACATGGAGCAGGGCTGCCTTAAAACATCAGCAGTGTATCTCTGCATGGTTCTCGAGGCCAGAAATCTGTGATCAAGGTGTCAGGGGGGCCGTGCTCCCTCCTTAGGCCCCAGGGGAGGGTCCTTCCTCACGTCTTCCAGCTTCTGGCGGCCACCAGCGTTCCTTGGGTTGTGGTGGCATCACTCCAGTCTCTGCCTCTGTCCCCGTAGAGGCTCCTCCTCTGTGTCTCCACTTCTGTCCCTTGTAAGGACACTTGTCACTGGGTTTAGATGTCCAAATGAGGTCCAGGATGACCTTATCTCCAGATTCTTTCTTGCATCTACAAAGACCCTAATTCCAAATAAGGTCGCGTGGGCTTGTGGAGTCAGGACCTGGGCTTGTCTTCTGGGGCCACTACTTAGCCTACGACACTGCCCCAGCCCACGTTCCTGGTAGAACCCACTTCAGTTGGGGGAAGAAGCTATAGGTTCAAGAGAAAGGCACCAATGTGCCAGCTGGGGCTGAGGTGACAGGAAGGACCCCTCCCCAGGGCACCTGGCAGCTGCCAGCAGTTGGTGTGGCTGGGGATTTGGGATGGGAGTATGAAGGGGCTGATGCCCAGGGAGAGAATGTGGTTTTGGTGCCAACGGGAACAGAGCAGAGCATGGTGGTAACGGGGCCTCCAGGCCCCATTGTCCCTGAGCCCTGCGGGTTCTCTACTTCCACACGACACGAGGGTGCCACCTGTGCTGCTCAGATCGGGCTGCTGGTGTCCCACGTGAGACTCAGCCCCAGGAACAAGTCTTCTGGCCATCTGTCACCCAGGACCAGGCGGTGGGACTAGGGCTGGATTTGGGGGCCTGCAGATGGGTGTGGAAGTTAAGTGGGCCCTGCTGGAGGAAGTGAGGACTTTGGATAGGGCCTTGCCATGGGGGCAGGAGCCCTGGGCTCTGGGGCCAGCCGTGCCTGCTGCAGTGATAAGCTGACTGTTTGGTCTGAGCCTCTGCTCTCCCCTACCCCCAGGAGAATAAAAGGCCGTGCCCCCGCCCCAGGACCAGCCTGTAGTCATCAGTTCCCAGGGGCCCCCGGAGCAGCGGGGAGAGGCAGAGGACGGCAAGAGACCCAGTCCTGAGCTGAAGGTCTGAGGGTCTTCTTTGGGGGACTTCAGACATAGTAGGGCTTAAGGTGGGGGTACACGGGGCAAGCTCAACCTCAGTTCCACCGTCACTGGCTGCCGTGGGGGGGTCGGGCTGCTTCTGCACCGAGGCCACGTCTCAGCCCTGCTTGGACACTGAGTGGCCCAGCAGTATCTCTGGGGCTCGGGACCCCAGCCTGGGAGGCTGCCGAGGAAAACGTGAGGTCATGACAAGGGTGTGGTGTCCAGATGTGCGAGCTGGTTCTCGTCACGGGGTGGGGTCCCCAGGTCAGGGAGGGACGGCGCTCTGGGAGCCTCACCAGCTCCACCCGTCCAGCAGGGGATGCTCTAGGTCTCTCCGCCCTCCTTCCGTGTGGTCATTTTCCTCCCGCCGTGCTCGTACACAGCCGCTGTCTCATGTGGTGGGAGGACAAGCCACCTGGATCTCTTCAAGGAAGCTTGGGCTTTGCGCAGGAGACAGGGTCCAGCACGTGGCCAGAGAGATGCCTTCAGATCCCCTCTTTGGACGGGGCGAGGGTCTGAATGCTGACTTCTAGAGGATTCAGAGGCCCCAAGGGTGGTGGGTGACCCCGGCCGGTCATCAGGAGGCTAGGGCTGTTTTCTTGTTTGTTTATCTTGTGGGGTTTTTTAGGATTAAATTTTTGACGACTTTAAAAAATTGAGACATAACGTATACAGAAAAGCGTGTAAGTCTTAAGAGTACAGCTTATTGAGTCTTAATAAATGCAGCTTATTACATCCAGAGACACTCGGAAAACTCCTGCCATAGAACATTGCCATCACCCCAGAAGGCTCCCTGCCCTCTCATTCAATACCCCCCACAAATGTGACCATGATGCTGTCACCAAAACTTTGTTCTGCCTTGCTTTGAGCAGGTATAAATAGCTGTAAGCCACATGTCTTTTTTGGTGTCGATTTCAGTAGCAGGTTCTGGAGAATGAATTCACGTGGGTTGTTACCTGTCTGTCCCTCATTCCTTTTCCTTGCTGTGTAGTATTCCTTTGATGGATCTAACATGATGTACCTGCCCAAGCTGCAATTGGTGTACGTGTAGCTAAGGCTCTCTCCTGCATTCCACCCCCTCTGCTGGTAGCCTAGGGGTATCTCCTCCCCGCTGCCCCCAGCTCTGCCACCTGCCTGAGTCCTCCTGGGAAGGCAGATGCTCATGCAGACAGAGACCCCTCATGTCAGGGATGGAAGAAAATCAAACCCACTGGGTGGCTCTTCACCCAGACTGAAGGGCCCCTACCCAGTGGTTCTGGGTGTGGGAACTGCAGGGAGAAGCCAGGTGCTGGTGGATGCAGTGCTCCTGCAGCCCCTCCAGGGGCAGCCATCCTTCCCTCTGTCCCAGCCCTGGGGTCTCACAGGGTCTTGGAGAGGAAGGCCCTGGAATTCACACTCCACCCACCCCATTCCAGGAGCTCTTAGGTTTCTGCATAGCACTTTCATTGAAGAAAGAGGGAATCTCTGTGCCCAGGACCCAGCTCTGACAGCTGGGACCCAAGGTCACAGTACGTTGTCTCCCTGAACCTCAGCTTCTCAATATGGAAAATGGCTATGATTGTGATTAAAGTAAACAACACATTAATTTAAAGTGCTCAGCACAGGGCCTAGCAAACCATGTGGGCTTCCTGTGTGGTCCTTTCTGCATTTTACTCGGAAAAATGTATTTTTTCGTCTAAAGAACCTCCCTCCAAATACATTGCTCTCAACCTCTTTCCCTCCAGTTCTAGGGAAAGTTTAAATAGATGACCCAGTTACCTCACAGCAGACAAAAATGATTTTGACCTGAAATTCAGTGTTTCCCACAACTTTCACCTGGGGAACCAAGACCATGGGCTTCTCCTAATTCCCGGCAGAGGACTGGGGGCCTGGACGGGGCCAGGCCGACTCAAGCTCTCTGGGGGCCCTCAAGAAAGCAGAGAGCCTGGGGGGCCACCTCTGTCCCGGCCCTTGGAGCTCCCACCCCTCCCTGATTACCCACCACAAAGCTTCCCACCACTCTTCCAAGGTCTTGCCCTTGGGCCATTGTGCTGATTAATTACTTACTGGAAGCCTTCCCCTCCTGGGGGCGGCAGGGGTGGCCGGGGCGGCCGGGAGGAGGGGGGCAGGGGGGGCATGTGTACATGTGCACGGGTATTTGTGTCAATAGAAAGAATATTCATGAACTCTGGGGGACGGTGGTTTTGGAAGACACATCTGGATTTCTGAGGGAAAAGACACTAACAAGATCTCGGTGGCCGGCCAAGTTCGCTCGCCGGCCTCTTGGGCAAGGGCCTGAATAAGGAGGCCGGACAATCAAGGGCATTTGGGGCTCTCAAGAACCCTGGATACCCAGGGCCAAGTATTTGGTTTCTGCTGATGAACCCTTTAATGAGGGCTTCAGAAGGGCCAGACGGCCCTGGGGTGAACGATTGAGCCAGAAAAATAGCCTCAGCTGGCACCGGGCAGGAGAGGTTTAAAGACAAAAGTGGTCTTCAAAGAAGGATAGCCCGGCCCCGGGCCTGAAGCGCCCTCATGCCCGGACCCAGGGACCTGCTCCCCAGGGAAACTCCGTGTCCCCGCCGTGGGGGCAGCCGCAGGCTCTTGCGCCCTGCCTGGCAGAAGCCAGCCCGGGCTCCTGGGGTGGACAGAGCACCAGGGGTGAGGGCCTTTCTTTCCCACCCGTGCACGCCCTCCTTTCACCCTGGACAGCGGGAGCTCTCACGCTCAGCCAGAGCTCTCCATCGGCGTTTCTGGTCCCAGCAGGGCCACAGAACAAGTGCACCGTCGGCCATCAGACCCGCCCTCCAGCCTCTCCCCAAGCTGGAGGTCCCCCTTCCCACCGCCTAGCTGGCACGACCTTCCAGCCCCCAAGCCACCAGCCAGATGGCGAGAGTCCTTGGTGGCCCCCAGCCCGACAGAGGCAGTTATTTCTGGGAGGAATGTTCTCGATGCAGTGACTGTCTCAGACTCTTGGTGGCGTTAGTGGTGGTAAAACTGTTGCGCTGGACCAGTTAACAACTGCAAGAAAATCTTTATTCAAGACTGTTGTAGTAGGAGCAAGAGAGTCAACTCCAAAGGCATCAAAGACAGCTGAGGATTCACAGCCAGTGGGCAGAGGGAGAGGTCAGTGGCTGGAAAGTCACTAGGACGAAGCTGGTCGGATACCGAGGGCGTGGGGAGTCTCACCAAAAGGGTGTAACAGAGTCTCGGCTAACAGCAGCTTCTGGAGGCCCGGGGCAGGCTGCGGGCCCAGGGCAGATGGGAAGACAGGGGTGCTCAGAGGGGCGGGACTACAGTGTGGTCAAGGAGGGGTCCTTGTCAGTGGCAGAAGGCGGTCCCTCCCTCTGGTCCTGCCACCCCACCGCACACAGGGCTCTCAGATTCACTGCCCTCTGGGGCCCAGCTGCTTACGTGGCTCCGCCAGCCTGGCTGACACAGCCTGGAGTCTTCCCCCAGCTTGTCTAACAGCGGAGACTGATGGGGAAGCAGAAACAGTGAGCAGTCTTGGGCTCCTGGGGTCTCTCTCCTGGGACCCCCACCTCCCCCAGGCACTGCTCCACACCCTGTCCCCTGGTAGAAACTTCCACTCTGTCTTCACTTCTAATCTGTCCCCAGTTCCAGCCCTCCTTGTGTCCACACATGGACACACGTGTTCTCTGAAGGACAAAACAGTGGGAGGGACGTGGGTGACTTCCAGGCTGGGGTTTCTGAGACAGGGTGACAGCCTCCACACTGTCACTCTCTCCACCTGTCAGCTGCACCCAGAAGACTCAGATGCCCCAGGGGATGGCAGAGCCACAAGACAGAAGGGGCCTGGGTCCCTGAGTCCCCTACAGAGGAAGGTTGCCCACTGACCAGGAGGGCTCCCATGGAAACGTTCAGGGAGCAAGACAGAGCAGTGCTATAGTTAAGTCACTGAAATTGGGAGATTTTGTCTGTTCTAATCTATCCTAATTTCCTTAATATGGCAGAGTGTAAATAATTCATCTCTGCCTGTCCCTGAACACAGTGTAGATTATCTAAAGCCAAAGCTGGAGTTTATTCCCACCTCCTCTGAATCCGCCAAGCGCGTGGCTTATCCTCCGGCGGCACATGCACCTTTCTAGACCCTGGGGCTCGTGCGCGGGCTTCCCTGCCCGCACTGCAGGGTCCCACAGACTAGGCTCCGCACACACCGTCCCTTGGCGGCTGTTTATAACAGAGGCAAATTATCCTAACGCATCCGCCGCTGTCTTTGCTGAGCTTTCCCTGGCTGCCTGGGGCTAGTGGCCTGTTTGACCCCTCATTTTCTTCCTGTGACTTTGATGGAAAGAAGTCACCCTGACAGCTGTTTGCACGGATTTTTCTGAGACAGGCATCCTCATTATCTTCTCCTCTCTGACCATCTGGAAATGCTGTGTCTCTTGGCGTCTGTGTCCTTGCTGTCTTCCACCCCCTGCTGCCCAGCCCAGGGCCCTCTGGGGAGATCTGGCTCTGGAGGAGGATGCAGCCCCTTCAGAAGGCTCTGGATCTGAGAAGGTGGCTTCTCCGTGGGGCTGTGCAGCGGGGGGCACGGGGGGCAGAGGGAAGCAGGGCTCACAGCTCGTGTCCTGAGCTTTACCTCTGAGCCCAGCTGCTGCTGCTGGCAGGGCAAGACTGGGGGCTGGACGTGGGACGGGGGAGGCCGACTCGTTCAGTGTCGGGCTCTGGGTCCCCACCCGGCTCAACCACAGATCTGCAGAACCCCTGAACTGGGGGTTGGGAAACCTCAGAAGCGGGAAGAACGGCTGGTGCTTGTACCCCTTTGTGCTCGGGGTGGGGAGGTTACTCTATTCTTAATACAAACAATAAAATGGAGGCCAGGGATGGTCAAGTCATCGGGAAATTAAGACCCAGGGGGAGAAGTGGTCTGGCACAGGACCCGTACCGAGTGGTACAAAGTGGCTGCAAATCCACCTTCTTTGATTCCCCTGCCTCGTCCCCTGCAACATATTCATGGTGGTCCAGGAGCTAGAACCCTGACCTTCATCTTGAAGAAGGGGAGACCCAGCCCCTGTCCCGTCCCAGACACCCCCAATTTTCTCTAGGCTCCGGGGCTTTGTTCCAGGTGCTCTGTGTTCGCTGTGACCCCCCTCTGCTCCCTCGCCTTCTCCCTTCCTGCCGACGCTGCTTTAACTCAGCCTCTGTTCCAGGCTCACAGCCTCCAACCTGAGACCCTGCCTCTCTTCCCCCCGGGGCTGGTGCACCCACCAACAGAACATCTTTCTCTGCCCATCCTGGGGATCTGTAGCTGCAGAAAGGAGCAGCTCGTTCAGGGCCAAGGTCAGACTCGTTTGAAGAAATCTGGGCTAAGCCAAGGTCAGAGGTCCTTTCCACCACTCCAGTTTCCACCTGCTTTATGTTTTACGGGGTGCACTAAAATCGCAGCAGTTATGCCTGAAAAGGCGAAAAAAAACAAGCAAAGCTGACTTCTCCTCCAAGCTTATCAGGAAGACGACATGACAGGGTTCGCTTCTAGTGGAGCCACGATGCGGAGCAAAGCGTCGCTGCAGGTCTGTGGGGACGCTCCCCCGCGTTCTCATGGAGACACTCAACTTTGTTTCAAAGAACAAAGTTCAAATAGTTGGTAGGCAGGAACTTGACGAAAACTTGGCGTTTGATAAGAAACTAATTTTGATGTGCCTTTTTAATACTTTAAAACACTAGAGTAATAAACAAGACCTACGAATGTCAAGCTTTCTATTTTGATGGTGTTGCTTTGATTTTTATCAATTTTTTTTATTAAAAATCCACTGTAAATGAAATAGAGAAGGGGAGGCTCGGCACAAGAAGATAAAGTTTACAATTTATCGAGATGTAAGCGACAGCCTCTCTCTCTTTTTTTTTCCCAGCACTGGGGGTTGTTATTATTTTGCGTCTCGCTGTGATTATTACGATGTTTTTATCTTTGCCTTCAAGTCTAGGATACCTGTGGCGTTACGGGAACAGGGATTAAATGGCCAGGAGAAGGTGACTTCTAGCTAGCAGAGCAGAAAGACACCAGGGTGGGCCGGGGATGAGGGCGTGTTTGGACCCTCCAGCCCTTCGGACAGATGCCAGAAAAACGTGGTGCTGCCTCCTCCAGGGAGGCTCCTCCAGGACCATGCCCCTCCGTAGGCTGGTTCTAAAGCTCCCCTCTGGGCCCCTGTATAATCCCCCAACCCTGGGGTCCCCCTCACTTACTTTCCATTCTGAGATTCCGTGTTGACCTCTCTCTCCCATGGCGGTCCAGATGTCCCTGATTCAGTCTGGGCTCCCTGTGCCCCACGTGGAGGACAGGCGGATGATGCATAGATTGCT